GTAGCAGAAAAGGAACCCCGGAGAGGCAAGTTTGTTGATAACAAAAAAAAAAAAAAATAACTACGGCGTAGCATAGAGACCACTTCCGCTGCACGCGCCATTAATAATGTCCGATGGTGTCAGCCCTGGAGGTCACCTGTAAGGACTTGTTCATAACCTCGTTCTTTACACTCCTTTTTTGTCTTTCGTTTTACTTAAAATATTTACCAAAAACAACTGAATACCCCTCGCAATGTCCTGGCTCTTCGGTTCCTCAAATGGTAAATACCAATGTCCCTTTCCATCTAGCCCGGCCGAATACTTGCGCAATGCGCCAGTCCTACATACAGAGAAAATTCTTGACCCTCGCTGACACAACACTTTACAGAGAAAAGCGCCACTGCCCCCGAGCAAGCGCCCGCTCAGCCCGTCCAGTCCGAGAAGCCCAAGGTATGAACCGATACTGCCGGACCAACAAGCGCAAACGATTGACCCTGCCTTCATTCTAGCCCTGCTGCGTCTGCAAACCGGAGAAAACCGCTCGCGATGACTGCATGCTCTTCTCCAAGTCCGACAGCCCTGAGCAGGAGTGCAAGTCCACGATCGAGCAGTACAAGACTTGCATGGCCGGATTTGGCTTCAAGGTCTAGACTCGGTCTCTGACCAAATGGCCTCGGCCTGTACTATCACTATACAGCATTGTACAATAGCATTCATTGGCGGAGTTTCTTGTTTTCTTTGGATATCGTCTGTTTTCAGAGCATTTCTGCTCGTGAGATATATTGGAATCTAGAGTTTGGCACTCCAGATGAGATAGGCATGAGTTTCCCAATACAACGTCTCACCTCTCAAATACGAATTCCAAATCGAATCAATCATATTAATGAAATAAGCTAGTAGCTCCACTGCCTCATTTTGGATAATCACATAATATGGGGTATCACTGAACATCATACAGCCATCCACCTAGGCAAACAATCACTGCTTCTTTTTCTGGCTTTCCTCCTCGGTCGCCTGCCGACTGATCTGGCGACATTGCGTATATAATTTCCACGTACACCACAGATAGGCAATCCCGAAACCACCAGCTCCGATTAGGGCATTCAAGACCACCCAAAGATCTGGCTTTCCGGGCGGCGGAGCCACGAACGCCTCAACGATATGCCAGGCAATCATCGCCAAATAGAAACCGAAGTGTAGAAGGGTTGTGAGAGTGCTGGGCTCGAAGTGGGTACTGGAGTCTTCCGGAGATGGCCGACTTCGGTAGGTTTCGAAAGAAGTAGGAGGCAAACCGAGAACATAGGCCCAAAGCAAAGTCATGACTATGTAAGGAACGCGGAGCTCATCGCGCTTAAGGAGGGGGTACATGGTCCATGAGCCAAGCATGTTGGCCCAGCCCACCCAGGCACGTGTTTCTTTGCTCAGTCCACCGTTACCAGCAAGTAGCAGGGTCATTGGTAGCAGAGGCAGCAACACACTCTTTTCATGAACCTGGAAAGAGAACAAGAAAAATCCCCAGGAGACGGCAGAGAGAGCAGGAAGAAGAAGCGAGGCCCTGGGGTGGCGGAAGATGATAGCACAGGGAACAATGATTGACGCCAATGTGGCACCGAGCGAGGCTCGCTGCAACAACGTCGCCTCGAAGCGGGTGAGCTTGTAGAAAGTGTGAACGGCGCACCAAGCGTTCGCAACTTTGTCTTCGAAGAGCCCACGCGCAAAGGGGAAGACTCGATGAATGATCTGCATTAGCTGGAACAATAACCCATACGTGACCGAGTTCTTGTCCATCTGGATAGGAAGTGCCTGTAACAGAGGCGGCACTGGAGAAGATGCAAATGCCTTTCGAGCTTCGAGGTTGGAGGCACCAACCATAAGAGGGGCCAACAGCAAAGCAAAAGTAGCTAATGTGATAAGAGCTATACTCACGAGGCGGGGGATATTAATCCGAGGGAACGTGCAGACACCGAGAAGATAGGCGAACATGACTGGTGCATAGTATAACGCCATCTGCTTGAATCCCAGTGCACCAACGAAGAAAATGCAAGCCCAGAGCATACGCCCCGCCAAGATAGCGTCCAAGCTCGCAACCACCAATCCAAGCATGACTGTGTTGTATTGGAAATGGCCATGGTCTATAAGGATGTTCGCCGGCTGAAGGAGGACTGCCACTAGAGCAATCGAGGCGGACCATGCATGAACACCCTGCATCCGAGTGTAGCGGCGGAGGAAATTGACCACGGCCGGGATGAACACGAAGTATTCGGACACAACTACAGTGGCGCGCATGTATACTTTCAAATGAGGGTCCTCAAATCCTCGGGAGGCGTCCAGGGCAAACCATGTTGGATCAAAGGTGGAGCCACTAGACAGATCGACAGGTCAGCAGGAGGCCATGATGATTCCATATTTTATGGCAGGTAGAAAAACACACATCTTTCCGAGTAGCCAGCTATGATATGCGGTCAATGGTGGATAGTCGAGACCCCAATATTGCAGATCGTATATGTACCACTTCGCCAACGGCAGATGTGTGGTAATTTCCATCCAGTGGCGTTGCGCCTCAAAGTCACCATGCATCGGGGGAACCTGGAAGCCTAGAAGATATCAATTCTTGTATCCACCTCTAAAGAGAGACAATGTCGCATACCAGAGTAGCCCCATAAGCTCACAGCCCATCGGAACAGGCCAACGGCCATGAGGACAAGTGGGAGAATCAGCCATTGAGAGACACCGGCGCGAGCAGCCCACAAAAATGAGACCAGTGGAAATGCTGGGGATTGCTTCCCCTCGCCTAGATCCAAGATCAGGTTATTGTTGGAGCCGGGGGAGATCGCAACCTTTCTCTTCTTGCGAGGACGGTGCGAAGAGGGTGTCGGAGGGGCCATCACGATAAAGGCCAAAGGACAACTTATTGTCCCATTGACTATTGGGCCAAGGAAAGCCGCACAGTGTATGAACGAGTAGAAGTATTAGTAGAAGAATTGACGTAGTAGGTACAACGTAGCAAAAGCAGAAGACACCGCCAATTGACATGCGATTGATTGACTGGACAGGTACCCACATAAGTCTCGGGGCTAAGTGCCTGGTCTAACCTCTTTAGGCAGGCGGAATTGTTCTGCTAGCCTCCGAATTTTTTTTTCCAGAAAATTTTCCTTATCAGAGCTGATGGTCCCCAGCTCTTCGCTTCTTTTTTTTTCTTCTTCCCATCCTCTCTACTTTTCTTATTCCCCTTTCAAAAAAAGGCAGTCTTTTCCAGGTTGCTTTACTTGTATCATCTCTTGACTATCCAAGAGATCTATCTACTATCTACACACTAACTAACGCAGTCGCGTGGGTTCTATCTCGTAAGTTCGTTCGGATACTCTGTGGGCTTTTTATCACTCTGAGGGCTGTGGGCTTGACATACATCTATTCTGTGGGCTCTGTGGGACATCTTCCTCGTGGGTTACATATTCTAGACAGTATTGGCTGTCTGTTGCTTGTGGGCTTGAAAACTTGTCCGTCCGTGGGTAGTGGGTTAACGTCCAGCGTGATTTAGTTCACTTCTGGCAGTTCTTCTGAGGGCTGTTGTTCCATTTTACACATCCAATTCACGGGTGCTCTGAGGGATCGTGGGCTTTGCCGCACATACTACAAGAATTCCACTTGTCACTACAGTATGTGCCACCCTACCCAAGCTACAAGCCAGCCTCCCAAGCCCTCTTCCTGAGTTCCCTCAATTTTATTCAAGAGCAATAGCTAACATTGCATCTTTCCTCCAGTTCAATATGTCCAAGACATCTACCAAGGGTGCCGATAAGGCCGTCAAGGCCAGCAAGGCCTTGAACAAGGTCAAGGATGCCGGTGTCACCAAAGCTTCCCAGTCCCCCGCCGCTAAGAGCAAGGCCATTGCTAGCAAGGTCGCCTCTAAGGAGAAGTCCTCCAAGAAGAACAAGAAGAAGGAGCCTACTCCCAGCTCCTCCGAGTCTGAGTCTGAGTCCGATGAGGATATGAAGGATGCTTCCTCCAGCTCCAGCTCTGAGTCTGAGTCCGAGGAGGAGAAGCCCGCTCCTAAGAAGACCGAGAAGAAGGTTGCTGCTAAGGCTGAGTCTTCCGACTCATCCGACTCATCCGACTCTGAGTCTGACTCTTCCGAGTCCGAGGAGGAGAAGCCCGCCCCTAAGAAGGCCGAGAAGAAGGTCGCTGCTAAGGCTGAATCTTCCGACTCTTCCGACTCTGACTCTGACTCCGACTCTTCCGAGTCCGAGGAGGAGAAGCCCGCCCCCAAGAAGACTGAGAAGAAGGCCGAGACTTCCGAGTCTTCCGACTCTGAGTCTGAGTCCGAGTCTGAGTCCGAGGCCAAGAAGGCTTCCTCCGACTCCGAGTCTGGTTCCGACTCTGACAGCTCTGACTCTGACTCTGACTCCGACTCCGAGGAGACCCCTGTCTCCAAGAAGCGTAAGGCTGATGAGGAGCCTGCCGCCGCTGCCAAGAAGTCCAAGACCGAGGATGCTCCCGAGGGTGCTTCCGCCAACCTGTTCATTGGTAACCTGTCCTGGAACGTCGACGAGGAGTGGCTCCAGCGTGAGTTCTCCGAGTTCGGTGAGCTCTCCGGTGTCCGCATTGTTACCGACCGCGAGTCTGGCCGCTCCCGTGGATTCGGCTACGTTGAGTACACCAGCGCCGCCGATGCCGCCAAGGCCATGGATGCCAAGAAGGGTACCGATCTTGACGGCCGCACCATCAACCTTGACTACGCCGCTCCCCGTCAGGCCAACCCCCAGCAGGACCGTACCCAGGATCGTGCTCGCTCCTACGGTGACCAGACCAGCCCTGAGAGCGACACTCTCTTCGTTGGCAACCTTCCCTTCAGCGCTACTGAGGATGCCCTCCACGAGGTGTTCGGCGCCCAGGGCTCCATTCTCGGAATCCGTCTTCCCACTGAGCAGGAGACCGGCCGTCCCAAGGGCTTCGGTTACGTTCAGTTCTCTTCTATCGATGAGGCCAAGGCTGCCCACGCTGCTCTCAATGGCCACGAGCTCGAGGGCCGTGCCATCCGTCTCGACTTCTCTACTCCCCGTCCTGCCGGTGGTGACCGTGGTGGCTTTGGCGGCCGTGGTGGACGCGGTGGTGGCCGTGGTGGCTTCGGCGGTCGCGGCGGCGGCGGCGGTTTTGGTGGACGCGGTGGTGGTGGTCGCGGCGGTGGCCGTGGTGGCTTCGGTGACCGTGGTGGCCGTGGTGGTGCCCTCAACAAGGGTAAGGGCAGCATCCCTGAGTACAAGGGTACCAAGGTCACCTTCTAAACTTGATGTTCTTCACTGCATACGTTTGATTTCCGCAACATATTGGTGTCAATGGGTCTCAGGTTCTCTTTGAGAGAAAAAAAAGTTCGTGTTTAATTATGTGTAATATGATCTTAGCTCAGGTATCTTTAATTTGATACATCATTCCAGTTTTCATTCTGGTCAACTTAACCTGCTTTCTTCATCTTTGTGCTGTGTAACTATCGGCCAGTATATTGCCACCGGAAGCCGCCTTCCCCGCAATATTCTTTGTTTTGCCAACTACATATTGTCAATCGATGCATTGGTTTCTGCTTCTTCCATCGAAGTATTGATGAAAGAGGGTCTCTATGTGAGCTTCTAGAGTCCCAAGATTCTACAATAAGAACCGCAATATTCTCTATCGGCCACTGAGAACCCCTCACATCATCTTTCGCCCTTTTCGTCACGGGCTGCAAATCACCTGTTCGGTCTGCTGATCACCTCATCATTTCGATTCTTTCCACCTGAGGAATCTCTTCATCTTTCTTTTCTCACTCTTCTGTTCTGTTTCCCAAGATTAATCTAACTATTTTAATTCCTTTAGCTCTCTTTTACCTGCTGGCTTTTGTGAGCAGAAAGGAGTATAAAGTGTTTTGGGCATCAGTGATCGTCGACTCCACATTTGATAAGATCACCTCCCCCCACGTTGACCGCTCTCTTGTACTCCAGAGTGGCCTGATCCCCTCTCTTCTATATTTCTGTTCACACACTGTCTCCTCGCATATTCTGCTTTCATATCCCTTCAACTCTGGCTATGCAACCAAATCACTGCGACCTGCTGGGTCAGGTGCGCGAGCCTAGAGCCGCAAGTCGGATGACGCGTGTTGGCCATCAGCCGCTTCGAGATAACGGTCAGCCCCAGCCATCCGGTGCGGCGCCCATGAGATCAGAGGGTATGTAGTCCTTTTTATAATCCGACTGGTACCTCCCTGCCGATGAACTTTCAATATGCGTACAAAATCGCTCTCACATCTCCATAATGTACTCACTACGATACTATATAGACTCTTGGATCGATGTCTCCTCGCAACCGTCCTCTTCGTCTTTCTCTTCCGCTGCCACGAACGAAGATATAATTACCACCGGCTTACAGGTCGAGCATGGCGAAGGGGGAGCACACCGGCGCCGCAATCGGCGACGCCGTCTACAACATCTTGCTGCTATCACCACAGCCCAGGTGGACTATGCATCGCGCGATGCCAGCCAAGCCAGTAGCAGTCAAGAGGAATATGAGGAGAGCGAAAGCGAGTCTGATCGCGTTCTCAGCAGCTCAAATGAAGATATGATCCCCCCAACGCTCCCAGCTGCAATATCTGCGCCACCCTCCTCAGGTTCAGATGCTGCCTCCAGCGATGATGAGGATGATACTTCTACTGCCCTAGGGATGGGCATCAGCCCATCGCCTTTCGTACCTCAACCAAACATATTCACACACCCACCAGCAAGGTCAGAACCCGGATGGACTGCGCGACGCTCTCAACCCAATTTCCCGTCTACCTCTAGTCACCGTGCCTCTCGAAGAGGATCTTACCCTAGCCCACAATCATCGCGGAGAACTCAATACCAACACAGCCCTTACAATATGATCTCTCCTTCTCATCATGCCGACCACGATGCCGCCCTTCGTGCCAGCCTATCAACACTTCTTTCATGTGCGGCTGCCGCCAGAGGCCTTCCAAAGAATGATAATCGACCGTCACCTACCCCGGCTGCTCCATCTGGAGGCGGGCAACCCGCTTCATTCCGGCTAGTGGGTGCATCAGTTGCTATGGGAGAGGAGAGCAGCGACGAAGAGACCTCATCCTCGCCGCGGTATCCAGAATCAAGTCCATCAATAGGAGCACCACAGAGACACGTAAGAGCGCCAGCGGTGTCATCTGACCCAGCTTCATCCAAAGCAAAGCGTCGTTCAAGTTCCCCTAAAGACCGTGGTACTGCCTCGAAGAAGAGTCGTCGCGTGAGCATGACAGATCCAAGGGCGACTGTCAGCCCCACGATCATGACATGGGTCATCAGCGCCGGGGTTGTCGTTCTATTCTCTGCAATCAGCTTTTCGGCGGGGTATATGATCGGCCGTGAGGTCGGGCGAGCTGAGGTGGGAATGATGGGAGATGGTGTTCCTGGCCCTCGGCCATCAGTAGGGTGTGGCCAAGAAGCGGTCCGCGGCGGACTCCGAAAACTGCGTTGGGGATCTGCGGCTGCAGGATCTGCCAGTCTTGCATCAATGTAATGCGCCATGGCGAATGGCGAAGATGACTTCAACGAATTACGATGTCATTATAAGAAGATGTGCCGCCCGAGCTGCGTTCATGGTTTTGACGTGGACGAGCTGGTCGGAAGCTCTTCATGTTTCTCTGTTTGATTGATATTATACTTTCGTCTCATTGGCTGATAGTCATTGGGATTGGGTTGTTATATGCAGGGAGGCCAAGCGACCTGCTAACAATCAAAAACCGGCGTCTCTTTATGTTTTACGCATGTGGCTTCTGTTTTGGAGCGATGGAGTCTTGGTTCTAGTCCCTTTTAGGCTTCTATGATGTCTTCTTTGCGATTCTTTGCGACCTTCAATCTATACCCTCCTTTTATCACCCTATCTTATATATCGAATGAACGATTCTCTCACAATATTGGGCTCAGTTGATACCACATCTGGTGCTAGTATCTCAAGCCGTATATCAAGTACATACTATTTCGGGTACTCTCCCAAGCATCCGTTATGATACTCACTTATCTCACTTTGGCTGTTATGTCTCACCGCCATATACCCTAAAGTCAGCGGCAACCGCCCTCAGCTGCGGTATTTGTGCTGTTGGCAGCCTTACATGTTAATATTATGATGTATAGCGGACTTGGGCTTTCTTAGCTCTACCCAATTTAGCCCCCAGAGGACCATGGCGCGTCTAGAATTGACTTTGCACCAGGCAAGCTCCCGCGGTATCCACCACACCAGTGAGCCTAAAATTGACACTCCTTAGGGCATTCTGAAAAAAAATTGTATTTCGTTGTTGCTCGTATGGGTAAATGACAGAATCTGCATCTGCGTAGGCTTTAAATAAGAGGAATGGGCTGGAGGTATCTATCTACATTCATGCATCTCCCTCCATGTTGGCACTTTCTGATGGCTCGAATCGTATGAGTTGCACCTCGCTGATTCCTGCAACTACCGCATGATCGACAAGAGTACTGGTTGGAGCTGAGTTCGACAAGGCTCAAAAAGGCAGCATACTTTAAGTCAAACATAGGCGTAGACATCGCTCTCATAGACAATATTTGGTATAGTGATTTGATATCATTCCAAGATTGGCTTGAGCGAATGAACGAAACAAGTTAAAGTATTGTAGATTGAGTAAAGTGGGTCGTCAACAGACGTAGCCAATAGCGGCTCTTAATATGCATATGTGACATTGCACTATACCAAATATGGTACATGGGAGCAATACTAGCCAAAGGAGTTAGACTGCTGAAATCCCTCCAGAACAACACTGTTTTTCTTTTCTGGCAGTCATGAATATCAGGTTCTTTCACTGTCAACAATGAATGCAACCGGAATCTTATGCAAATTCTCATCCTGGCCTTTTCTCGGGCGTTTGATAATCCGGTGGGGAATTGTCAAAGTCCCTGTGCCTTCCCGGGGCTCTGCAGGTGCCGGTTGGACATGCCTTTAGCGGACGAATCCTTGGCCACTAATAACAAAGCACCGATACGATAATGTGGGATTTGGTAGCTCGATTTGAGTCATTACTTTTTTTCCTACACAATTGTCTTCACGTCTCTTTGGCTTCCAACTCCATCCTCTGACAGCTACCTTCCAGCTGCTATTCGAAATGTTCTTCCAAAGCGCTCATGAGGAGAAAGACAAAGAGGTCTTGCTCCATTTCATCCGGCAAAACCCACTCGGAGTTTTGATCACCGGCATGAACTCCTCCCAGCAAGACTTCCTACAGTGTACCCATGCCCCATTTGTGGTGGATTTCCCAGAGGAAACAGGCAAGATGGATCCTTATCTCCGCGCACACATCGCCAAGCAGAATCCGCAAGTCAAGACGATGATGGAGGCCGTGGATAACAACCCGCCGAACGTCCTCGAACTCGACGACGACGTCTTAGTGCTCTTCAATGGCAAGCACGACCATTATGTGACTCCGAAATTCTACGTCGAGACGAAGCCAGATACAGGGAAGGTCGTGCCCACATGGAATTACTCCGCCGTCCAGGCATATGGCAAGATGTCGCTATACTATGATTCCAAAACAACCGAGACCGGCGAATTCCTAGCAAAGCAACTGCATGATCTCTCGCAGCATACGGAGAAGTCAATAATGGGATACACTGGTGGCGATAAACCGCAGGCGTGGGAGGTGTCCGAGGCGCCCCAGTCATACACCGACCTCCTGAAGAAGAACATTGTTGGGATTGAGATTCGAATCACCAAGCTTCAGGGGAAGTTCAAGATGAGTCAGGAAATGCGGCCCGGGGACCGTGAGGGTGTGATCCAGGGATTCGCGAAATTAGGAGGTGATACCGGCACTGCGATTTCGAATTTAGTGAAAGAGCGAGCTGAATTGCGTGATGCGAAGAAGCGAGACCTTTGATGCTGGAACGAAGATTCAATATGACATTATCGGAAGTTACTTCCATGGAAATTACCATTATCGTGCCAGTACAGTGTGGATTGTATCTGCTGGCCCTGAGGGACCAATTTACTTGCCCCCAAATACGATTTTATGCGAGTACGACTAAAAGAGAAAAACAAAGAGAAAGGCCATTGTTCGATGAAGACGAAACAAGTCCGCTGTCTGGCGTCACCCTAGAATAGAGCTCGGAGTAGCCGATATTTTCCAATGTTCTGTTTCACCATCGATATAAATTCTGTTCACATGGATTATTTCTGAAAAGGACTAGCCAATGGCCCTGGCAGGAATGCGACTGTATGTCAATTCAAGTTCTCAATTTTCGCATTTTGATCTTCCGTCAGACTTTTCCATTCTTTCCTATCCTTCAAATGTTCCAACCCATGAACCCGCTGGTCCACAAGGGCATTCACTCGCCAGCGATCCTGTATTCCCTTCCTCTTCTGGCAACATCTCGGCACTGTTAGGACCTTCTTCCCAATAAACTCAGCCAGATCTACTTCAAATGAAAGCCATTTATTTGCATAAACACCATTGCCGTCCTCAATCTCAATGACGTTAATCTGTAAGACCTCGGGGTTGATATCGTCAGCTAGGACAAGATGGTCAAATTTACACCATAATAGTCAATCACCCTACTCAAATTGAAAGGAGAGAACTGATTAGCCATAGGGCCATCAGAGCTAGTTGCTTCCACTAGGAGAGATTGACTTACTCCTCCGGACGCTTCCCGGGCATCCAGCCCAAGTACTTATCCTGCACCACCAGATCCCCAGGGACTTCCGGACAAACATCCCGTTCGTATATGGTTTGATATGTTAACCGTGCTAGCGCTGGGCCTGATAGTTGTCATAAAACTCCAGACGCCACGAGATATGTTGTAGGAGCCTTTGTATGGCGATCAGGGGACCTTCAATTTGCATTCTGAGCGGCTGATCAGATGGTGGGAGATGATACCGGCCTGCGGGTGTGTGAATACAAAGCGGGATGTAAAGCGGGAGCGCCATTAGTAGGAATGAAGCCACTTGATTGTCTTCGTGGTCACAAATGCTCCCTGATGTACGGAGTAGTGAGGGCGCTGAGGGCTACTTCTACAGGAGCAAAAGCGGCGAGGGCTGAGCCTAAAACGGACAGTTGCATCACGAGGGACAACTTCCCTATTCAATATTTGTTATTGACCTGGTATATGTTCTGGATTAAGCTTCTCTCGTTTACAATAGCAATAGTCCAATAATTAACAAACTACCTGTATGTGATACAGTGTCCTGCGACGTGTTCTTTCAACCACATTATCTATGAACTCGAAATGGATATCTATCGCCTCCTCAACCTCATATAGCTACTTATTTATTCCAAAACAATCCCGTCTGACTCCAAGCCTAACCGGGAATGAGGTTTCTGCTTTTTTGTTTTGTCGAAACATTAGGCATGATAGTTAAGGAAGCCAGGACTATTCGTGGCACTCCATACTGGTCAAAAGTATTCGTTTTCTGATTGTAGAAGGAGTCCCTCATCTCCACAATTTGAGGAACCCGAGTCCTCCGATTCTGTCACCAGTATAGCTCGAATATTAGTGCTCATACAGCTTATTTATGCGGACTTCTATTGGCAGTAGGACCCGACCGGTATGTCTGCCTATCTCTAAACGGAAGCGTGTGCTACGGGATTTCTGCCCGAGCATATGTCGGGCTTGATAACGTTTGCCCCAATAACCCATAATGGCGTTAAACCCGCCGGTTTGTAGTGCGGGTTGTAGTACTATGGTGGCGGGTTGGCGGATTGGCGGGTTCGATGTCTGTTCTTGGAAGATCCACCCGCCTCGCGATGGGTTGCCCTACCAAATTGAAAACAGGCCGTCCATATGATCGGATTATAGACATGGCTGCCAGCCCAATATCAAGTTGTTTCAAGCATATAAAGGGGTCCTGAAGATGACCAGCAAAGCAACAAAGACTCTAAGAGATTCTCCATTGTACATTCTCATTACTTCGCCATGGCTTCGATGTTCAACTACTTTGGCTTCAATGCCCCTGCCTCCAAGGGAGAAACCAAAGCTTCCCCAGTTCGTGCCTTGCCTGCATCATGGTACACTTCGCCTGAGATGTACGAGCTGGAGCGTCGAGCCATATTTTCGAAAAGATGGCTCTTCATCACCCACAGCATGCGGCTGAAGAACACCGGCGACTGGCTCCGCTACGAGGTTGCAGGTTTCGACTTCATCATCACTCGCGACCGACAGGGCGACATCAACGCATTCCACAACGTCTGCAGACACCGTGCGTACCCGGTAGTTGAGAAAGAGGGTTCCGGAAATTCCAAAATCCTCGCTTGCCGATACCACGGCTGGTCTTACGGACTGAATGGCAAACTCGCCAAAGCTACGAACTACCAAGAGCTGAGCGACTTCGATAAAGAGCAGAACGGTCTTTTCAGGATCCACCTTAAGATCGACGTTAATGGATTTATCTGGGTCAACATGGATGCGAATGAAGTCCCAGAAGTGTCGTGGGAGGAGCATTTCCGTGACGTCGACAAGCAAGAACGGTACAAAGCCTACAACTTTGACGACTACGATTTTGACCACAACTATGCGCTCGAGGGTGACTATAACTGGAAGATCCTGGCTGATAATTTCAATGAATGCTACCACTGCCCCACGACACACGCCGATATTCCTGAATTCCTCAACCTGGAATCTTTTGACAGCGATCTCAAAGATGGACACATCCAACACCATTGCGAGTCTACACCAGAGCAGATCGAGAAGGGTCTTTACACTGCCAGTACCTACTACTTCCCTATATCTGCCATGGTTGTCTCGTGAGTGTTCCCAGGTTCTGCTTCCTTATAGAATATCCTCTGACATACACAGGCCACATTTTATAATGATCCAGAAATTCCTCCCCTCTAGTGCAAAAAGCTCCAAGATGGCCTACGAAGTCTACCGAAACCGAAACTCCTCCGATGGCGACTTCAAGCTTATCAGTGACATGTACGCGCGTGTCATGGGAGAAGACAAAGTCCTCTGCAACAATGCTCAGAAGAACCTCGACCGAAATGTCTTTACAAGTGGCGAGCTTCACCCCAAATATGAGAAGGCGCCGCTGTTTTTCCAGAGCACTGTCCGCGACGTCATCACAGAGCACTTTGAGCGTGAGAAATCCGAGGGGCGGGAGATCTGGCCGGCGAAACCGAAGGTGTCATGCAATGCAGGTGTTAGTGAGAAGGATGAGCAGATTTGTGCTTCTCTGGCCTGTGGAGCTCAGAAAGAGGTTCTAGCTTGGTGATTGTATTGAGAAGTGTTTCTGTTGCATCGCTTTATGAGTTGCTTATGATCTTTGGACATGAACTGGAATTTCTTGAATTGAATTTAGCCTTATTATTTGCCAAATGTACGGATCATGTCAGCGCTGACGTCTTGGTCGAGAAGAAGACAGTAATGGTCCTCTCGAGGAGTAAGGTGCAACTGTAGCAAAAGTTGTAGACATACATACTCATCCGGTCGATCTCCAGGTGGTGTAATTGTGCCATCGTTGAGCTGCTCATCATGGTATATGGAGAAGGGTACTCTCATATAGATGCGAGGGGGATTAACGTGCCAGTGGACTGAGGCCTGAGTGTCAGATTTCTTAGTTTAGAACTTAGCTTTCTCAAATCTCTCAATATTATCGCCACATTCTACCATACACCTTAGTCTCTTTTAACAGGCGGACTTTTACTCTGCCTGCGCTTCTCTGATCTACGTCCACGGATCGATTTACATGTGTTTTTTTGCTCAAGCTCACCCAATGTTTCCGTAAGGTTTACCGCAAGCACAAGGAACAGTCCGGTTGTTGATGGTCCCCAAACTCAGCCGCGGAACGATTCACTGCCCAAATCTGCAGTCGCTCGCTCTGAGAAACTCCTGCTTTTTGAAGACCAGCAGGTCGATTGGATTCTATCGCACTCGTCAACACTTCGAGAACTTTGCCTTGACGATTGTCCAATTTTATTCCAAGTGAGAACATTGGGTGACGAATCTCAGCTTGCGAAGTGCCCGATACCGAGATCCAGAATGAAACTGCAAACCTCCGAGCACTGGCTCGACGATTATCCACGCCGTTGGAATGACTATCTTGCCTCATTCGAGACAGGCCGTCCACACCTCCGTCATTTTGCAATGGTCACAATGAAACATGAGATTCACAGTTTGGGCTCCCTTCTGGGAAGGAACTGGACGTTGTGCCGGCCATTGATGCTTGACCGGTACATGGCCCTCGACGGCGGTCTAGGACCCACTCAGTTTCTTTCACCAAGGTGGCCCGAGGAGAAAGATGATCGTCAGCGGGTTGGCTGTGGAGAGTTTGTGCGAGGTGGGCAATTCGGTAGAACTTCACCACTGGGAATGAATTGCAATCAACGAGCTGAACGAAAGCGCAAAAAGGCACAACAAGCAACCCGGCTACAAGTGATTCTAACCGTCCCCAGCAATACTTTCGTTCTGACCAGAGAGCTGCTTCTGGGCAGCCAATCGGCCAACTCTTGAAGGTAAGTCGGGATTCCGAAATTGGTTTCCCTCCCGAGAGTGAAGAAGACGCTGGATTTCTTTATGGATGAGCTATGAGCTGTTGTCGGTTTCTTTTCGGGAGATTTCTATCAATGAAAGTCGCCTCGCATTTTTGAGTTCTGCATATAATGGAGACAGTAAGTCTATTTTAGTCCACAGTAGATGTGGGAGACCCATAGTCATAAATATTGTTGCATTATTACCTTCTCAGTCCATCCATCAATGGATGCCTGCCCAGGTATAACGGCACGTGAGCCGGAAGTTCAGAAAAAGCAAAAGCCGAACCAATCAAAAGGCGGTGAAAACGGATATGCACATCCCGGGCCTTAGCCGCGGATAAGAGCTACCCCGGCCACCCCGCGCTGGTATAATAGGGGACTAGCCGCCACTCGGCTGTTGAGGGACCGACGCCAGAATGGGTCCATCTTGGATTCACGCGATCACAACATTCGGCAGGTGGCAACGGGATTTCTTGGGGGTTGGAACCGTTGCAACTTCCCCACATCCATCACCAGCCGAACGATATGCCGTCGCCAACCATGTATATAGACCAAGGTCGCGCTGAGTTGACTTTTTTTTTTTCTACAACTATCTTCAATAATACACAATGTCTTCCACGCGCCAGTTCGACCCCAACTTCACCCCTTCTGTCATCAATGGCATGGGCCCCAACACCCCCGAGCGCGCTCGCGTGGTCCTGGGTTCTCTTATTAAGCACATTCACGATTTCGCTCGGGAGGTTGAGCTGACCTCCGCCGAGTGGATGCTCGGCGTTGAGTTCATCAACTCTATCGGCCAGATCAGCACTCCTATCCGCAACGAAGGTCACCGCATCTGTGACGTGATCGGCCTCGAGTCGTAAGTTTCATATCTGACTTCATTTTTATTTTTATTTTCTCGAAGAATAAAAATGACAGAAACAGAGAAAAGAAAAATGTGAAAACTAACTGATTTCATTAGTCTCGTCGATGAGATCGCCAATAAAATCGTCACCGAGGACGGTGTCTCCCCCACCTCCAACGTCATTCTCGGCCCCTTCTGGTCTCCCAACGCCCCCTTCCGCGCTCTCGGCGACAGCATCATCCAGGACCCCAAGCCCAATGGCCGTGTGACTTTCATGCACGGCGTCATTAAGGACATGGAGACCGGCAAGCCGATTGTCGGCGCCGTCCTCGATATCTGGCAAGCCTCGGCCAACGGCCAATATGATTTCCAGGACCCCACACAGTCCGACAACAACCTCCGCGGCAAGTTCCGATCAAACGAGAAGGGCGAATTCAACTGGTACTGCTACCACCCCACTCCCTACTCACTGCCCACCGACGGCCCCGCCGGTGTCCTCCTCAAACTCATGGACCGCTCGCCCATGCGTCCCGCTCACATCCATCTCATGATCACCCACCCCGAATACGCCACTGTCATCAACCAGATCTACCCCAGCGACGACCCCCATCTCGCCATCGACTCCGTCTTTGCTGTTAAGGATGATCTCGTCGTGGACTTCAAGCCCAAGACCAACGACCCCAAGGCCACCCTCGACTTGGAGTACAATGTCAAGATGGCACTCAAGAAGCACCACCCCAACCCCAACACCGCTCCCCCCGTGTCCTCTTTCGAGCGCCACGCCAAGGCAGCCAAGGAGGCCCAGGGAAAGCTTTGAGGTGGAAAACGATTGCACGAATTGGGACGGCGTTCGACATGACTCATGTACATATAGCATTTACTTGAATTTTCACGAGATAACCTCACGTTTACACGATTTATTTGTTTATCCTGCTTCAAGCCCCATATTAATGTCGTGTAGAAGGCCCGTGCGACCAGATCGTAGATCTCCCGCTATGCAGGCGACATTGTAATTTGCATCCACTTTCGTGCGTCATAACAGTGGATGGACGCTTTGGCGAAATGAACCGAAGAATCTGGTATAGGTCTAGATTCTTTCCTAAACAGGAAGAAATTTTGGCGCAAAGCCCCGCGGCTTGGTTTCCTCCGAGTCAACGTAATATTCATTACATCCATGGATCGTTAGGTCCTTCCCTGACTCATTTCCCCGCTAGATGCCACGGAGTTTCAAAACCTTTCATCGTCGGCGTCTTCGCCTAAACGAACGCAAAGAGTCAAATTCAACCTAGACCTTACAGTTTCATTTACTGAGAACACAAGCCACTAAATATGGCCGCGCAGTTATACGAGACGTTTACGGGCGGACAACATGCTTGACAAAGCTGCGAAACTCTTCAACGAAAACTACGGTGTCCGGGGAGAGCTTTCAGGCAAACCTGGTGCGGCAGCGGTACTTCTTTTTACATATCACATATCTATGCTTTAGATAGGAAGACCGGTCAAGCTGAGTGTACGACAACTGCGTGAGCAATACCTCCCCCAACGACCAATGAGGTTGCAAGTTTCTACACTAGGGTGACTATTGACGGAAGCCTCGTCGGACATGCGTTCGCCTGCCGCTGGAAGAGCGAGGGTAGGACTGTCTGCTGGATCACTCAATTGGTTGTCGATAAGGCTCACCGTCGGAAGGGACTTGCGAGTGGCCTTTTACGAACACTAAGGGAGGACGGCGATGATATGTACGGCATCATGAGCTCTCATCCGGCTGCCTGTATGATGGCCGCCAGGTCTTTCGGAAGTAAGTGCGATCCTAAGTCGATAGAGGTTCGTTCTTTTCTTACTTTAGATAGCGACTATCGAAAGAATATCCCTCGATTTTATTAGCAAGAACGCCCACTCTATCATTTCGGCTTCACCAATCACCTATATTCGGGACGCTGAGCTGAGTGGAACCATATTTGGTTCTAACGATATAGGTGGAATCGTTTCGGGTGCGAACACTAAATTTTTTGTGGACCACAAAGAGCCATTGGACGCGCTGCGGTTGGTTCAAGAAGATTGGCAGTGGCCATTAGGGGACCTGCCGGAGGGATATGAGTATCTCATCATTATGCCTGCCAAATAGCGTCGATCATGTTCGAGATTGGCCGATGTCGGTCGGTAAACAGGGATAGCATAATCAAATGTCATGCAATGGTATGGACCACGCGTGGGCCTGTTAATATCAATGCCAATCGCTATCCATTTCATTATGTGTCTCATAGGGCGAGTTCACCCTTCCTGACCCTAGGGTAAACCCTCAAGGGTCTTACAACTAGTGCAGTTTCCGATCTCACAATATTCAACAACTCTATAGAACCCCAAATATCCAGCCACCTACGCTCCGCGAGTTGATACCAGCTGGTGGATGAATGAAAGATATGTCCATTCTCTAATATCAAGCGAGAAAACACAAACTATACGACCTAAAAAGTCCTCTGCGGATTTCCCGATGGATCAGGCTGCCAAGAAATATCAAATGTATCCTCGGTTGGTTCGTGGTAAGACGTGGAGGACTGGGGTATCGCGCGGCGAAGGCGATCTTCGCTGATGACGTTGGTTTGGTCAATGGCCTTCTCATAATCCCGGGCTGGGGTTGTTGTCAGCAGGTATGGAAAAGATAAAGGCAAGGAAGTATGCGCAGAACGGTTCAAGGCAAGCTGCGTACTCATTCTTTCGTCGACGTCGGAGGAAGAAGAACCGGGCTGAACTGGATCTTTCGTCTCCGAGCTGCCATTCTGCTCGTTCTCGGGCTTGGGGTCTTTGGAATTGGAGCGGTTGGCCATTTTGACAGCTAGGATTTATTGAACGCCAGATATGGAATATTGATACGGCAATGTACAATGATGGTGTTGGGAATTTGCTGGTGTTTGGAGATGTTGCCATAGTTTTATCCTGGGGGATTCTACTTCGTCATCATGACTATCCATGGAATCTTGCAGGTCGCCCACATAGACGTCGCCTCTCGGTAGGGGAGGACGTCAAAAATAGAATTTATTCATCAATTGGAAGAGTTGTTATGATGTGGTCGTGATATTAGATCTAAGGTAAGTCAAATACACTGTCCGGACTTCGAGACCTTACATAAAAATAAAGAGTGATACTGTGAAGATCGCCTAACCTTTGGGAAATTCTAGGAAATTCGCCTCAAATGCCATTGGATCATATTGGCCACCTGTGAACAGTGTATCGAACACTCTACTTGTTCAGGTATGCTCTGGGTATGTCTCGATACCAGAAGCAGATGAATCGACGACAATTCGCTTCGCTTAGACATTATGCGACTCAAATCAATTGTTTTCTTTGAAAGAAGGCCAGGTATGATAAATAATGATTTGTCGTGTGGTTTGCCACCAACGCCCCCTTGTCAGTAGGCGCATAGTGAGATGTCAAGTCACGAAAAAGCAGAGACAGTCACACCGTGTTAATAGCAAACGTTCAGTTTGGCCGGTGAATTTGAAAAGCCCATTCGGATCCCTGTTGAAGTGATATCAAAGCTCATAGGCCTTATAACCGAGATGAAAGGCATAAAGCGATGGCTGAATCTTATGATCTTCCCTAGAAATGATCTATGAAGGCTGAGCCGTACTGCGAAACTTCAGCTCCCTTTGTCCAAGTCGAACGAGATCTGCATTCAACAGAGTCTCCTTCTCGAACCCATCCACGACCTGGTTCAACACTGCCGCTGCGAGCTGGCTCTGTTGTATATTCGGAAGGGGCCGTCCAAAAAGATTGACGATACGAAAAAGGTTGGCCACCAAAGCTCTTGACCAAGTCGAGGAGTTAGCAATCATGCCGGGCCGGGCGATGCAAACTTCAACTCCCTGTTTTTCAGTAGGAAATTTGAGGACCATGAGCTCTGTGTTGCCCTAGCATATCAAAAGCACGACATTAGCGTAAGACCCACAACATAGCACGAGGTTGTAATTCATTACTCGCATGATATGGTAATCTGGCATGATCACTGGCGTCTTTGTTGGGTCTCGAGGTATTCCCTCCGCACTCAAGTACAAGAAGCGAAAGGGACGTGCCGGGACAGCCTCATATATGGCTTCAAATGTGACCTTGGTGCAGTCCTGGCATACACGCTCGAGTTCGACCTTGGTAGTGCGTAAGGGTGTGACGGCAACAGTCCTACGCCAGAGTGTTGTAGTCAGTCTTGTAAGGCAATGAGGGTGTTGCGATAAAACATACCAAATACAAGCGTCGGCCCCAGCGAACTCAGCCTTCACATCATCAGGGTATTCACTATAGTCTCGAATGACAATGCTCTTTAACTTCGATGAGTCGATACCTGCGTCCAGCTGCAAGGGCTGGAAAGCTAGCAAAACGATCTGGGTAATCTCGCGAATTTGTAAGCTTTGTTTCACGATCTCGGTGCCTAAGAGACTGGTCGCGCCAGCTATTATGAGCTTCATGGTTGCCTCGGAGGTCTGATGCTGGTGTAGAAGGGTTATCTGTGTGCGGAAGGAAGAAATGTGCATGACCCGACAATCAATCTATTCGTAGGAATATCTAGGTGTGCCAAAATCGTGGTCTGACACCATTTGAAGAGAGAAAAGATGTTGATGGACGACCAAATGCAACGGTTATTTGGGAGTTGACTCAACGATGCTTCCCACGACACATATCAGTAGAACAAACGGAACATTAATAACTAGCTGGTCGATGGAAAAAGCATGAGTGTCAACGGGCAAGCAAACTTGTACTAATCGGTTGTCTATGGTCCAAAAAATAACATTAAACACATTCATTCGTTCAATTTCTTGTTGAATATCGTCAAAGGAGTAGGCTGTTTATTGAATATCATTGGTCAGTTAGCAGTCTCCACTCAATTTCACGCGCATTTCCTAATACCCAGGCACCCCCCAAGTTACTCTCCAGTGTGTCCCTACTCTCATGTTGAGGTCTGCCGGAGCTTCGATATATGACGATGCCGTGCTGAATGTAGTATGGACACCGGGGAGTTTCGATCGCGGCAAATCTCCCAGTCGTACTAGCTCATTCATGTTCATTGATAAAGGCCGGCGTCCCACTTCCCAGGTAAAGTTTGGGTTTCTCTCCTTTCTAAGCTGCCAATTAGCTACGTCTTTCTCACGAGAGGCGACGGTTTTCCCTCCTTTCTAAGCTCCCCTAAAGTGATACACATTGAATTCAGGGATCAGGCTGATGAGCTAGACGGAAATTGTAGCATATCGTTACTCATTTCTTGACATTGAACAAATGAACTGCGCCATTTCAGCTCTATGACGTGGGATTATTTTGCGCAAGTAATATATTTAAATTAAAGATACATGGTGAGAGAAACTTCCATTCATAAATCTAGAGAGAATTCCAATAAACTATCAGACAGCATATGACTTCACTAGTCCTTCCTTTGGAGCCCAGAATGTTCCTTTTGTCGGTTCTGCCTGAAATTCCGTTTCAAAAAAGTCAATATTCTCTTCATGTGTCAGAGCAAGGTATCGACATGTGTCTCGTGTTTGTGGGTCTGCAAAAACTACTCTGGATTAGATTCTACAAATGATGCGTCTGGTACAGTACTTCCCGAAACTGGTGTCACCACTTACACTCTTTAATACTTTCTCGAACCCTGATTGCCAAGACAAACTAGTCTATATTTGGAGTTTTTCCGTGGTATCCCTGTCAGTGGGACCTGTATTGTTTCTTACGCAGAGTAATCTGGAAATGTAGCGGGGTGTATTGACTTATAATCCGGTACAACTGACACCCCGATGCCCCACTTTTGGAAGCCTTCGTCCTTTAGTACGGCCAGATCTTAACAATCAATCACGAGTGGTCACACTATAATAGCGCCTAACCTAGCCCCTTTAAAGCACGAGCTTATTTATGACATGATCCGCAGCGGACAACTATCTGTATCACAAATAGCACAAGCTACTGGCTGCAATAAGCGTACCATCCTGGGAATCTCTTCTAATATACGGACATTTGGTAGCGTCCAAGCACCGCTTAATAAAGGTAGTAGGCTACGAAGCATCAGTCCAATGATTCTGGAAGCCCTTTAAGATCACCTGCTCGAAAAGCCCAACCTATATCTTGATGAGATTCCTTCTTTTTTTTTTGTGGGATGAGTTCTATCTTCAAGCGACGAAGTCCAGCATCAGTCGCACTCTTGCATCAAAACGCTGGCTAAAATAAGACTGCCCGGGTCAAGTCTAGGGAGCGTAATCTCGACCTGCGTGATGAATACTCCCACTTTATCTCGGATTTTAGATCGTACCACCTTGTATATTTGGACAATCTGGATGTGATAAAAGGAGAGGTTCGAGGCGAACGGGTTGGTCCCCACTAGGGATGACACCAGTTCAAGTGTCCAAATTTTATCGCGATAAACGATATCAGATACTACCTACATATGCTCAAGATGGTATTGTTTTCTCTCGAGGGTTCCAAGGCTCGACTGATGGGTTCGTCTTTAAGGATTTTATCGAGCAGATCCTCCAACATTGTGGGCAATGGCCTGAGCCGAAGCCTGTGTTAGTCATGGACAATGCAACATTTTATCACTCTCACCGAGTAGAGCAGATATGTTCAGAAACCGGTGTGGAGCTAGGGTATTTGCCTTCATATTCACCGGACCTAAATCCCATTGAACAGTTCTTTGCTGAGCTAAAGGCCTTCATTCGGCGGCATTGGCAGTCATATGAAGATAATCCGCATCAAGGATTCCATAGCTTCCTCGAATGGTGTGTTGACATGTTTGTGCGCCAGGGGGGAAAGCGCAGAGGGGCAGTTCCGGCATGCAGGTATAACCGAATAGGAGATCTAGTGCAGCTACCGCTGCAAAATTCGGAATCAATCTCATCACTTTACCCAAGTCAGCCCCTCTGTAGACCCTTCTACAATTACAGGGATCATGTTTCGTCGCGAAGCCCTGGAGTGGGCATTGAGAAAAATCCGGCAAGAAGTCACGTTCCTCTGCCACACTCGACGACACGTTAAGTGTTAAGATGTGCTATTCATAACTGTACTCGCAGCTCACAGGAACCTTGATGCGTTTCAAACTTTTGCCGCCGTGTAGACGGCGTCAGTGACACAACCAAGCGCAACCTCATCCCGTCCTAGCTCAGTAATGACACCGCCAGGACCCAAGCCATTGGAACTACAATAACGATGGGCAGCGGATAGGCAAGCAGGGTTCTGGGCTGCAGCTGGAGAGGTGCAGCCGTCATGTAGCTTGGCAAGCTCAGTAATCTTTACAACATGATGCCATGGGGTTGGAACGCAGGCCAAACCAGCAACCCCTTCTCCTAACTCCTGAATGATACCTGCACCACCGTGCCCAACGGCATCGCAGTAGCGATGAGCAGAAGAATAGCAGGCAGCTGATTGTGTATTACTAACTGGGCCAGCGCAGTTAGGTATGTCGGAATATGCCACGTTTCCATACCATGTCGCCGTGGTGCAAAGAAGACCGACTTCATCAATTCCCACTTCCTGAGGATAAGCTGCTGAACCTTTTCCGTTCAGATAACAGTAACGGTGCATTGCGGCCATGCATGCCGGCGAGCGTGAGTCATGCACGCTGGTGCATCCAGAATGATAAGACTTCAATGGCCGATTTCCACCATACATCGACTCTAGACCCTCAATGTCTAGCGCGCTGAGCGACCCATCTCCACTCCAATTTGGATTGCAGTAGTTCATCACGGAGTGAAGGTCCCACGCTGTCACCATGAAATCTCCAATGGTTCCTTGTGGTTCTTCAGTGCAGACGTCGCGCGGCGTATCTGGTCGGTTATGCTCGTGTGAGAAGCCGAGAGCATGACCGAACTCGTGCACGGCTATTGTCTTGATGCAGTATTCTCTTTTGGACTGGCAGGCAGTGCCCCAGGTAGAAAAGTTAAAGTTCAACACCATTCCATTGGAGCGCCCATTCAGCTGGTTTCCAAGACCCTTTGTGTGGGGATGAGCGTCAGCAATTTGAATGCGCACTCCTCGATCTATCGACAGACAGTTGCTCCATCCGGTAAATCGAACAATGGAATTGCGCTCCCAGGTTGATTTTATGGCGTCGGTAACCCATGATCGTTCAGGTATAAACTGATCCTCTGTGACACTTTCCCAGCATACCGGTATCTCGTTTTGCTCCCAGATTACGGGCTTCAAAGGGAATAGACCGTTTTCAAGTTGTCCCGGGAGAGTTTGGGCCTGAGCTGTGCCGCCGGAACTCTTTGGAAAAATAAGGCCTGCAGGTGACAGCAGACCCAATAGCACAATCTTGATGGACATCTGGAGTTCAAGGTCCCAAGAATTCTGGGTTGTTGTTTTGTGACGCTGAAAGATCCCTAGGAATGTGATAATAAACCGAGGTATTCATGTCACATCAATTCAACTTGTGAATGGCTCTGGGCACTGGAACTTATAGTTTCATATTATGTCATTATCTAAATGATACCGGATCAAAACGGCAACATGACCCGGGAAATTCCAGCCAGTGACTCTTCGCGATAGTCGTCGTAGTGATATAATCGAAAGCAAACCATATTTGAGATGATCGAGCCCCGGGACAATGTATCAATAAAAGTGACAGGGTTTTAACTATGACAAGCCACTTACCTCACTATGCAGGGAAGACTCATCTAGAATCAAATTCATTAAGTCAATGGGTATCGCTAAGATTTTTGACTTTCCATTGACTAGGAGCGGGTTATCGTCAAGGAAAAGCTAGGTAGTGCCTACTGATTCTAGATCTTATCCTCGTAGACCAGCTTTTCGTGCCTATTGCCGGTGGTACTAATTACCTATATCTACTCAATGTTCGAAGAAGAGATAGCTTCTCAATCTAGTGTATGGCCATTAAGCAAAATGGTTTGAAAATAGCCATGGTATTGATGCATGGTAATATGAACTAGTCTAATCTCTATACTCTCCACCAATAAGCTCGAAGCTTCCTGCATGAAGTTTTGTTCCGTGTCCTTTGTCACAACCCGGTTATTCAGAGTAACCTTCCACTCGATCTGGTAGTGAATACTGTTTGTAGATTGTCCATCCCATGTTCCTCCGTCTTCCTGTTCAACTACCAACAGAAAACCCACTTCGTTGGTCTGTGGTTGATGCAAGGGGGATGAACGTTCATTAAGTATTTCCTCAGGGCTGGGTGAAGGGGAGACAGATGGTATAGATTCGCGGTCCAAGTAGTATCCGGGGGTGGGGGCGTACAAGGGAGTCCGGCCCCATAGATCAGATCGGTAGGTATCATCGTCATCAAAAGGAGTGTATGTCATCCCTCCAAGGCAGAAGATCCCACTGAAGAGCCTAGTAACATCATTGCGCGTTAGTTTAGACCAGGAGGGTGTCAGGAAACGTTAAGTAAGAAAAAGCTGTGGCTGACAGGCTGAATATGGTGATGAGCAGGGTCATAAGTATAATCTGCAAGTAAGCAAGGTATTGTAAGTCACTGTTCGTGCTGTCTGGTACAGAGTAAGCCCCTAGATTGTCACTTGGACATGAGAGTGGG